TTAGAGTTAGGACAAGTGCTAGTATTTTGTTAGAGTAAGGGCAGATAGAAGGAAAGTAACTTTGGTTTGACGAATTTTCCTTTTACAAATCATACGTACTATCATGATTTCTAGTCCGTTCTAACTTGCTTTTCTGTATTGTACCACTTTATTACTTTATTATATGCCCTATAATTATGGCATTGCTCCTTATAGTGATCGCAAAGCAATATAAATCCAGAAATCAAGGCATTAAGTTAAATAAATTCTATTCTTGCTTTGTCTCATTCGTATAACGAATTAAATCTTTAAATTCTGACTGATCTAACATCTTTTATTTTTTTCATATAACAATGAGAGGTCGTTGTCACATTAGTTGGCTTTCTTAATTTTATTGGTGTGGTTTTATTATCGCTGATAAATTTCGTTAGTGGCTTTTTTTCGAAAAATCCTTGATCCAACGTTGTGGAATGATATGCTAATTTATAATAATTATAAGAAATTGAATAAAAAAATTGGTGAAATTTATTATATTATGGGTAAATGCATTTATATTGAAAAATCGTGGGGTTATTTGAGATTAAGAGCATAAAGAATTTGTATTAAGAAAAGCAACCATTTAATGCGAAAATGCAATTGACAATTAATTACGATCTTTTGTCATCACGAATTACTTCATTCTTACTTAATTGTAGAAATATTAAACGATTAACCCACTACACAAATGTAATAAAACATGATTTTGTATTTAAATAAATTTTTTTTATTTTTTATTACTGTATTAATAAAAATATTACATTTACTACTTTACATTTACTACTTTACATTTACTACTTTATATTTACTACTTTATATTTACTACTTTACATTTACTACTGTACATTTATCTATTGTACTATTTTAAAATTATATTGCTCTGCGCTTTCATACATAAATATAATAGTAATAATAAAGATAATAAATAACACCTTTGAGAAAATTATCCTACCCAATTACACTTCATTAGTATTAATGTTATTTTCAGCCAATATATTTCTGATTTCTTGAAGAATATTTACTAAATCTTCACGAGACTTATTCAATAAACTACGAAAGCGCAATCGATCTGAATCACCTAAAAAAGGAGCTAAAGTATTAATAATAGATAAAATTTGTGATTTTGTTAAAGAGCTTTCAGTTTTCTGAAGCTCTGCCTCGTCATATGTTATGAGAATTGGACACCAAATGTCTAATAGTATTTGTTAATTAATTTTGCTCTAATAAATTCAATTCTCTTTATATATGCGATTTCACTAAATCTTATCATTTCTTCACTTAATGTTAAATCCCTACTTAGATTTAAAAAGCATAATTATCGGCATTTGGATTTATGAATTGGGCTTTTCTTATCTGAACCCTAAATCGACGTGATTCAGCATTAAAACTAGGACATGTACGAGGCCCATTGGTTTCACTCTTAGAATATCCTATGATCTTAAAAATATTAGTACGCAATTTTGAAAATTTAGTACAATTACGTGCTGCAATTTCTCAGTGCCATTGTAAAGGTATCGGAGGAACTAATGATTTTAATGATTTGTTAATTTCTTCAAGTATTGCATTATGCCTTGATATTGATTTGAAAGTTTAGACTATAATATAACAACTCTTTCTTGAATTAGATTTCGAATTTCAGGCTTTAATCGTAGCATCTGTTCTTCATCAGCAACCTCAATTAATCGATAGATTGAATGCCGCCGAGCAGACCAAATAACCGCAAATGTTCGTCTGGCTGCAAGTCTTAGTAAAGGCCTATTAAAACAAACACCAATACGAAAGTTAATAATTGCTTGCAAATAAATGAAAATTTGTTCATACTTTAACCTAAACATATGATTAGTTTGATTTTGAGCCTATTTTAAATAGCCCTTGACAGAAGGGTTTTCTTCTGAAGCAATATATAGCTACATTAATTCAGATGCTATCGCGTGCTGATATATATTACATATAGAATCCCACGACTTATAATGGTCAGAGCATCTTTTAAAAAACTGAAGTTAATTTTCATTCTGATATCCTTGGCACTTTGCAAAATCTTTTAGATCAATATCTTAATTTAATTTGACGAATGCCTTTAACATATTCATTTCTTCATAAAGAGCACTCGGAATTAATATGAGCCAAGGAAAATCTTTTTTTATTTTTTGTATATAATGATACAGTACTTTGTCACAGGTAACTGCAACCCATTTACGGCTACCATCATTAACTCCAGATATTTTTTCAATATTTCAAGAACTTTTCTAATGTTAGCAATCGAGTTTGGATTAATTCCTATTGGATCAGGAATGAATATTTGTGGCATATGGACTTCACTTTCCAGAACTAATCATTGTTTAAATATGCATGAAGAAATGGTAAGTGATTTTTTGGCAGCATTTATAGTTTTATGTTTTCGTCGATTATTTCAGAAATCGTTGGTAATTTGCTATGACAATTAGGGCAAACTCGTTTCTTATTGTCGATATTAGAAGTTTAACAAACCAAACATTTTTTCATATATCCTATTTGGCTTTGATAATGAACCAATTTGTCGATTGTATTCATATTTTGATTTTTCTCAATGCAAAGTTTATCTAAAATAGAAGAAAGATAATTAGTAAGTTCCTTATTAATTTCACTATTCATATCTGAAGATAAATGAAATAATACTTCATATTGCTTTTCATCAAGTTCAGTATATAGCCAAGGATTTTTATTCTGAATATTATTACTTTGGCTATAATTAAATGCAACGAAACTCATAACCGTATGAAATATGACCGTATTATACTCATGATCCAGGTAATTTTTTTGATCTTTCTGTTCATTATCAAAGGCCAAAAACAAAAAACCTTCAGAGAGCCGTAGTTGTTCTCTAGCTAAACTTTCTAACCAATTATTAAACTTAGTATAACTACCAGAGCTAATAATATAGTTGTCAATATCAATGATCATTTTAGATTTTGCTAATGAATACTTAATTGCCGAAGTAGCCAAGTTAATAGCTGAAATATATTTTAAGTGCCTTGACCCATATATAGCATCAATTGCCACTGTATACTTGAAAAGCTTTTCTTCTCTGTGCTAATGTTCACCATCGTTATGTGTAAGAGTTTCTATAAACTTTACAATGATCAGATTCTGTTCGGCAAGCTATTTGGAAGGAGAATACTCTAAAAAACTATTTAAACAAAACCATTCTTAATTTTTCATTAAATTCATGATGTCATCATACAAATTACTTTATTCTTTTTTGGCGATTTTTATTATAGAATGAATGCAATCTTGTTGGTTAGTAAATTTTTCGATTAATTTTTTTTTTAATGGCTCATTTTCACTTAATAATTGCTCATTATTTTTTTCTAACTTATCAATTCTTTTTTGAAGAATTTCACACATTGGATGTAAAAAGGATACTTGAGATCCAAAATTAGTGCAAGCTTTTTTTTTAAGTAAAACAACCTGAATACTAAAATTGACAAAAGTTCTTTCAACTTGAGTGCTGAAATCGATGAAAGTTCTTTCAACTTGAGTGCCAAAATTGACGAAAGTTCTTTCAGAAACTTGTGGCTCATCATTGTTAAAAAACTTCAATCTTTTTTTCTTAGATTCACCTGGAGATAGAAGAATTGGATTAGTTTCTTTTTTTAGCTTATTAATAAAAAGATTTTTAGTGACAAGCTGATTATAGTGCCCTCCACATAAAGAATAACTGTCTATAGAATCAAGCAATGGAGCTAATTCAGGAAAATACTTAGCCAGTTCCGTTAATTTTTTGTTGTTGCAGAAGCAGACGCATTTCGCCATTTTCCTTCTTTACATTTCTCTATACGTTTTAGCAAGTCACTATTCGGGTGTTTTGTAGAAAGAAAAGCAAAAATATATGGCAGATCTTTGGCTTCAGATTTTGAACTCATGCTTAATTTATATACGAATATATGTAATTAAAATTTTAATTTGTAAAAAAACTAGTTGGTAAAGTCTCAGGGATCTCCAGAGATTCTAAAAGTACACATTTGAAAATATATAATTCGAAAGCTAGTTTCGACTTACATTGCGTATTAATTACGTATAAGATTGATGAAATACTCTGGATTTTTTCTATAAAAGATTATCATATTTCGAAACGTGATCTGTAGACTATTCTAGAAATGATTTATGATCCCGAAACGTGATTTGTAGACTATTCTAAAATGATCTACAAATTTTAAAAAATCCTCGACTAAAGTAATAAAAGAATATCAAAATTAGTCAAATTAATTTATTACATTTTATAATTGCTAAATAATTTTAACAAATCTGAATTAGTGCAAATAGATTCAAATGAAGATAAAGAAGGTGAAAATGAACTAAAGAAAATAATTATAAATCTATATTTTCTGGTTTTCATCTTTGGATGACAATGATGATTTAGAAAAGATACAGATGATAATGAGGAAGTTACGGATAATGCTAAGTAAAAGTTTTTATTTTGTTTGTTTTTTTTTTATATATGAATAATACTGCTGTTTTTTCTTTTATTTTTTATATATTTCTTTAATATAAGATTAGTTAGCTTTTTTTATATATATATATTTAAAAATTTTAAATAAAAAAATTCAAATAAATTGTTTTTTAGTTTTTTTAATTCAGTATAATTCGAAATAATTTGAATAAATAAAATAAAACTAAAAATATACAATACGAATATATTTCAATTTATTATGTTTAGACATTTAATTAATTTAAAAAAAAATGAATTCAAATTTATTTAATTAAATTTTGATAAATTCGAATAGATTCGCATTTTTCAAATTAATTTTAATTATTTTATAAATGTTTTTTTAATACTGTCTAGTCATGTAGCAAAGTTTGCATATTTTGAATAAATTCGAATTAGTTTGAATCATATCAAAATATTTCGTAATAAATTACGTAATATTTCGTAATATATTTCATAATATTTCATAATTAAAAATTTTGAAATATTTCGCATGAATCATAATTATTGCAGAATTTTTCGGGCCGTAATAACTTTCGTAAGATTATGTTTATATATTTTGCTGATGTATTTTATTATCAAAATGTTTACTTTAACTAACCAGAAGCCAAATCATTATGATTTGGACTATTTTTACAACAAATACAGTGATCATTATAGTATACTAATTCACGACACTCAATCTAACAAATTAAAAGCAATGCCTTTTGTATTCAATTTAAGTGAATGTAATGTTATGTAAACACTTCATTATTTTTGTATTCCTGAAGAACCAGCTATTATTTACTGTTACTGTCAAAAATACTATACTTTTTTTACCTCAAGTTATTTAAATATTCTATCTAGACAAGCTACTTTTTCTCCTTCTCAACAATCTAAAGCAAAGAATATCAATTTAATATTCAAACAAGTCAGAAATCTAAAAGATAATATTCTACAATCTTCTATTGCTAAAACTATATTTATTTCTACTCTTTTATTTTTACTTAACTACTCTGCTACTACAACATCTAGTAGTTCATCTCAAACTTTCCAAATACAAGTACACTTTTATCATACTCATACATGTATTATTTGCAAACTTAAAGACATTCTTTATGTATTTTTATCAAACAACAAACATATGCTTTTAAGCAAAGCTACTCTGGTTCTTAAAAGCTATCTAGCACATGTTGCATACATTTACAAATTTAAACTCCAACCAATTCCTCAAACTCAACCACTCACATCTAAAGTATATAGTGCATTTTATATAATCAAATTTGACCTAATAGAAAAAGCTACAAAACAAAAAAAATCTTCAAAAACTTTTTGCAATTAATAAAAGGAAAATATAAATATTTTAAACAAAACACATTAAATAATCTTGACTGGTTTCAAACTTATTCAATTACTCCTATTATAGAACTTTTTGTTAAATTTAATATACCACTCACTCAACAAATCTTTAAATTTGTTAAATCATTTCTGGTTGACTTTGCCTCAGAACAAATCAACAAGAAAATAAATCAACTAGATATTAAATATAGTTTCAACTATTTAATTAAGCAAATGGCAGAACAATGACCCAAGTTCTTAACTGAACTAATTTATAAGCAACACCAATCTGTCAACAAAAATATTACTATTCTCTTTAAAATTGTATACACTTTACTCAAAAATATTTTATCTAAATTTACTTATATTCTTTTTACTAAACTTAACTATGCAAAAATATTTATATTCTATAACTCAATTTTATCTTACTCTACTCTTAATTGCTATAATATAGCACTCAACTTTGCTTAACTTCATTTATTTTTTAAAAGTAAATATCAAACTATTAACAAAACTAAATTTATTCAAAACTTAAATATATGTTCCAGTCTTCTCAATCTTTATTACTTCACCTTTATTGATTTAAAAAACCAACATCTACTCAAAATTCAAAATGATAACAAGTTCAACATTAATGTCTTCTTTAATATACTTTTTTTTTTTTTTTTTTCCCCCGCACTGTCATGAATAGGTGAATTTTTATTAGGTATTTAAGTAGTACATTACCACTACCTACAATTATATCAGCCTATAACCTTGTGCTGCTACATTTAAAGACTACTCAAATCGATATATGCTACACTACTTGTACTCTAATTCTATAGATAACCCAATAGAGGTCTTATACTTACTAGATTGCCTAGGGAGGGTGTAATATATACTCCTAATCTTTCTATGTCCCACACATTTCTAGACTAAGCCTTTTCAATAACTTACACTGAGTCTAAGAACAAGTACTTGTGAGCTGAAGCAGCTACAGTTATCTACTACTATCTTTATAGAGTTCACCCAAATCCTGGTATCTATTTTATGGACTACCTCCATACCTCCGGAAACTCAAACTCCCAATCTTACAGCCCAGAAGGGCGGAACTCTTCCTCCATTTTTCCTGTTGGCCTGGTTGGTATAGTGCTTTTACCAAATACTTCAGTCACATCTAGTTTTCTGATATCTAGTTGATCATCCTTTACATAGTAATCATCGAAGATCTGTGCTACCTCTCTACTTGGATCTTGCCAAGCAGGCTTCCATACTCTGTAAATTTGCTAGATTTATCTGGTAGTTTTACTTGGATTTTGTATAACTCATACATTATACTACATGTTCTACTACCTCCCAGTACAAGCTGATTTGACTATCATTACAGATTCTACAACCCAATAGGATACAGTTTTCCAAATACATTTTCTATAATTTGAATTTTCATCGCTAATGAGATTCGAACTCTAGTCCTGCTGCTTGGAGGTGTAACAACTTGTCAACTTTACTAAGTTGCCACACCCTTTTAATATACTAAAAACACAATTTCTAAATAATTTTTATATTTCATCTCTTAAACCTTATAAATCTAATTTTGATACTTGGGTTGAATCCTTCTTCAAAGTTTATTAACAACAATTCTCTAAGATAGATGAAAAGAAAACTTATAACTTTCTCAAATACCAAATTGCTACTAAATTTGCAAATATCTGTAAAAGTTTTCTTCTAAAAACTTTTACTATTACTTCTATCTCTTTATATAAGAAATAAATTTTTGTCTACACTAAAGCAGCACTTTATTATATATATACATATACTCATAACAAAGACAATTTATATCAAATTCTACTAAACAACACAGAACATAACTTTAAAAACCTTGCAACCTTCTTTCTTATCAAATCTTTTGATAAATTTTCTTCAACATCTACTACTAATATATCTTCTAGACCAAAATTAAAATATTTTATATTAAATTTTTTTATATTTAATATAGATAACAAATATCTTGCTACCTTTAAAAAATTAACACTAACTAAAACTTTCTACATCATTTGCTACAATACCAAAAAACAATTTATTAAAGACAATAAAGTAGAAATTGATAATTGTAGAAAAAGATTCTTTTTTTATAGCTACTATAGAGCCTATCTCTGTACAGCTGCCAAAAATAATAAAATTTCTGGTCTAAGTTCCTACAAAGCTATACAAAAAATCACAAAAAAACCTGTTAATACCCACTTTCTAGCTAAAGTTTTAATTTATTTTTATATCATGAATTAAGAAAAAGTCACAATTTCTCAAATTCATAAAAAATATATCTCCAACTTCTATCCCAAGTGAAAAAAATTTTGCTAAAAAATTCAAGATTCAATTTACTCTTATTGAAAACTTAGATAACTCTTAGTTATTTAAAGCAACTGATATATCTTCTTCTAATAAAAATATAGTCTATAATTTTTTAAATGATAATTAAATATCTAGCTCTAATGATGATATGCAAATAGATGACAATACAACTACTAACATCAATAAACCTCCTAACACTCCTAAGTCTTATGCTGAAACACTTCTATCTAACATTTCTCAATTCTACTCATACAACTTTTTTTACTAAATATTTCTTCTACAAATTCTATTAATGCAGCCGCTACTTCATTAATTGATACAACTGATATATTTAATAAAGAGAATGATATAAGTGAAGGCAGTTAAACCTATTTATGCAGCAGACCATTTATATGTCAGTCAGACCTAATATATAGAGCAAACTATAGAATCCTGCATAGTTATAAGAACCAAGCTTAAAACGATGAGCGACCCTATAGAAGAAACACTATTAAAGTTATATTCAACATTTTTAGAATTCTGTAACTTCAACTCTTGCTATAACATATTTCTTTTCTTTTATAACCTACTGCTTCTATCTATAATCAAACACTTAAAACATTTTTAGACCATCTAAAAAACTAAAAATTTAACAATAATATTATTCTTTCAATCAATTATTTCTCTAATGAAGTGCATATAT